TTCCAACAATAATACAGGGACCAATTCTGCCAAAAAAATGGGAAGTTGAATGGAACACAAACAAAAGGAAATGAATAAATTAATTAAAGAAGTACAGGGACCGGATATGTAAATCAAGGGATCAAACCTGGACAAAGTATGTCAACTTTACTATTCCTTTCTTCCACACTTTAATATATATATAATAATGGAATTAATTAAAATCATAATATATTATTTATTCGGGCTTTAATATAATAAAAATAATAAATAACTTGCATGTGAGCTTCACACACACATACACACTTGAATCAATCTTTAGGATATCGGGTAGAAAATTGAACTATAAAAAAGGAAGAAACTGAACCGTGTATGGTGTGGTCGACGTTGTGAAAAGGCGTTTGTGGTCAAAGATGGAGGTGTGGCGGAAGATGTAGTGGTACCGTAAATGTTTCAGATTAAATTTCATAATCTCCCAATTTGGTAAATATTTTCAAAATTATACCATTTGATGAATATTTTTGTAAAACTCCTTTTAAGCTAATAAAACCTAACGTACGACTCCAATACAATACAGCTCGCCTCTCTCGTCTGCTCTCACTATAGATTCCCTCCCCTGCTCGCCGCCGTATGCCGTCGCCAAAGCCACCGGCCGGTGACCTTCGATAGCCACAGCTACATCGTCGCACCCCACCCCACCCCAGGTTCCATTTTTCTGCTTTCTTTCTTCCTCTTTTTCTGGTTTCTTTTGAAATCGCCAATCTTGATATCAATTGATACCTTTTTTCAAGGTTATCAGTTGATGCTGGTGTTATTATCAATTTATGTTGTCTATTTCTTCCTTTTTTTTTTTTCTGTCTTCGATAGCCACAGCTACTTGTTTGCTGCCACTGAGTTGCTACTTGTTTGTTGTTCATAAATGGTATCTGTAAAAAAGAGAATGCGTTTGTTGTTCATATATGATATCTGAAGTGTACAGTGTTCTTTATCTTGAATTAGATGATTGAATTTGTGATGTTAAGGCTCATATGTATGATGGTTTTTGATCTGAGTTGGGATGTTTGGCCTTGCAGGCAAGCTGTTTGATCAAATGCCTTAGAGGAATGTATATATTACTCTCTTAATATGCGTGTTTCCCCTGTTTTTTTGGTTCATGTTTTTATAATCATAACCGGCAGGAAGCCTTTTTGGCTCATGTTTTTAGTTGTAATAAAAAAATAAGTCAAAAGGAAGTTCTTTTTGGTCCTTTTATACATATAAACATTTTCTTGCTAAAAACTAAGAAATGTTTATTAGCTTATAGGCAAAATTAAAAAATATTTATTAGCTTATAGTGTTTTTACAAATTAATCCAAACATTTCTATGACTAGACTATTTTGAGTTTTGACACCTCTATAAACTTTCTATTTTACTGTTGCGTTTGATAAGAAAATTATTATTAAATTGCATAGATAAATGGACACTGAATTTTATCTAAGTCATAGATAAAATGGCGGGAAACAAAGGATAACTAGGGCACACTTCTCTGCCGATTGATCCGCTTCCCTCATAGCAGATACTCGGGTTCTCAACAAAATGGAGGAAATTGATATCGATGAAGAGGAGTTCGGATTTTCAAGAAATTATTTCTTAGCAAAAGAGTCTGGAAAGTCGGGGAAGAAATCAGCCAGAAAGCTTTCCGAAATTGATCTTGTTGATGAACAGGTTCTCTATTCTCTAATCTCCTTAACTTGCTTCATCTAATGAGTGATAATGTACTTATTCCTTTATATAAAAACTCGCCTTTTCATTTTTGGTGTCAAACCTAGTAGTGAATGGAAAATTTGTATGGATTTTGTAGCAAATATAACGAAGTCGAGAGCTAATGCACCTGGGAATGTTTCTTGAAAAATTTAAAATTCTTGCAATTTGTTGATGAAAATAAACATTTAAAGCGATGAAACCCCTTGTTTAAATCGAGGCATTTGATGTTAAATAACAAAACTCGTATTTTCTCAAATACGAATCCGATATGCGTTATAATCCATAGAGACTTAGGGATAAAATAGTATTTTTACATCCAAAATCAAAGAATGACTCTTTTTAGGGAAAGCATGAGAAAGAAATTAAACTGTGAATGCAGGAACTTCGAGCTGAGGTGTCTAACATTGAGCCAAAGCATGAGAAAGAAATTGCTTCATTGATAAATAGTTACAAAAGTCAGTACAATGACTGGGTTTTTGAGTTGAGGTACACATTTCCATGTCAATCCTTATTCTAGTATATATATGTGTGGTGTTTACGAAGGCTAAATAAATGTTTTCCTTTTTCAACTGTTACAGGTATGGTTTTGGTCTTCTAATGTATGGTTTTGGATCTAAGAAGAGTTTGATTGAAGATTTTGCTTCAACAGCCTTAACTGAGTACAGTGTGATTGTTGTTAATGGATATCTTCAGTCAATCAATCTTAAACAGGTATGTTGTTAAGTTGTCATTTTCCAGATGAAGTCTTACTAAAGACATATAATTGAAACATTTTTTTTTGTATAATGAAAACTGCAGGTTGCCACTACAATGGCTGAAGTAGTATGGGAACAATTAAAAGGGTTGCATGATAAAGATGAACAGCCATTTGATTCGAGGTCAATGGATGATGTTATTGGTTTTCTTGATGGGCCCCACCCGTACACAGAAGAACAAGAATGTTTAGTGTGTCTTGTGATTCACAATATTGATGGGCCTGGATTGCGTGATTCCGATTCTCAACATCTTCTATCAAGAATTGCTTCTTGTTCCCATGTTCGTATTGTTGCTTCCATAGACCATGTGAATGCACCTCTATGTAAGCTGCTTGTAAATGAGAAGGGCATTCATGTCTTTTTACACATTCCACCTTTTACAAATTGCAATATTTTGTCCCATGGCCAACTTGTTCTATTCTGTCGTGTCATGTCATTTTAATCTGCATCGATTTTTGATGACAGTGTGGGACAAGAAAATGGTTCATGTGGAGTTCAATTGGTGTTGGCATCATGTGCCTACTTTTGCAGCATACAAGATTGAAGGAGTCTTTCATCCTCTTATTCTTGCTCATGGTGGCACCTCTCAAACTGTAAAAACAGCTTCAATTGTCTTACACAGTTTGACACCAAATGCTCAATCTGTCTTCAAAGTTCTTGCACAACATCAATTAGCCCATCCTGATCAAGAAGGTACTTACTTACTTCCTTAACTTTCTCTTTACCAAATTCATGCAACAAAATTGTTTATTTCTTATTCTTATGTTTAATTACAATTCAGGAATGCCGATTGATACATTGTTCACTAGCTGTAGAGAGCGGTTTCTGGTGAGCAGTCAAGTGACATTGAATTCCCATTTGACCGAATTCAAAGATCACGAATTGGTCAAAATCAGAAGACACTCTGATGGACAAGATTGCCTCTACATTCCTCTCTCCAAAGATGCACTTGAAAAACTTGTGCTTGAGATCAACCAATAAGAGCTTTCTGCAACCCCTGTGCTGACCCATACTGTCCTGCCCAAAAACAACTAATAAGGTTTCTTGTCAGTTGAATGATTTCGGAAGGACACGATTAATTTAGGTGTCATGTGCACTTCCTGAAAAGGAGGCACACGAATTGTAACGATTCATTATGTTTGAAATACTTGTTCAGATTATCTGTTTTTGATTTATGACCTACTTTTTAGTTAAATACTTATATAAATTGTGTATTTTGTTAATTTGTGTTTAAAGAGACGTTTAATAAAATAATTTGATTTATACTCTAATTAAAAAAACAAAATATTATAGCTTTTTCATAATGACATCAATTAAAAAAATCAAGTCTATCAGCTTTTTATCTCTAGGTTATATCTGCAATGATAGAAGGTCAACGTGATCACAATAACAACAAATGTTCAAAACTCATTTTAGGGTTTTTGTCATAAAAGCCCCTAACTTTACACAAAAAAACCGGTTATGCCCAAAGTCGTTTTTTTTTTTGCCACAGATGCCTCTATTATCGGAAAATTGGTTCACTTTTGCCCCTTAGCCAGATTTAACCTTCTGGGGCAGTCACCTTTGTCATAGAAGCTCTTATATTTACTTATCACCTCCACACCAACACCGCCATCAACCACATACAAACCACCATCACCACTACTACCTTCCATCATCCACCACCACCCAACGTCACCCTTATCCCTCCATCACAGAAACCCATCATCACACCACCATCATCTTCTCCACTCAAACACACATACTGAAACACAAACATACACACATTCAAGCAAGAATTCAGAACTCAAAGAAGATTTCCAAAACCACTCAAACAAGGAAATGATTTTCAGAACTAAAGACAATTCAGAAACACAATTCAGAACTAAAACAAGAAGAATTCAAACACAATTCAGAAATCAAACAAGATTTTGGAAACGAGACT